AATGTACCCCGCGCTGCCCCAAAGCGTGGTGGCCAACTTCATATGTCTTCGGAATGTTTTTTTCTTATTTCTCAGACATGTGGATTTCCTCACGATATTTTCCTTCACCACAGAGAACGTGGTAAATCGACACTTAAAATTGCAATTACTAATTTCATTGGTGCCTGCGTGGATCGAACCCGGGTTGCTCGCGTACGATGAGATTCACAGCGACCGCTCAGCCCCCGAGCTACTGTAAATTATAACTTACTATACTAACTTACTTTTTATACGTGGTAGAGCCATGCTGCAGTATAGTTGTAGCACGAATGGGTCGGCTCGACCGGAGAAGGACCACGCTCTCACAGAATACCTGCGTAAAATAGCAGCATAACACTGCTGTGTTTCGTATGGTGAGTGTAGAGTACCGGAGACCCTTTTTAATGGAAAAGAGGAATACCATCTTAATCCTCACGGGTGACAACGCATCTGCATTTTGATTCTTTATTGAGGATAGATGTAGATGTCTATGGGTCACAGCAACCACTTAGCATCAGGTGGACTGTGTGCTCGTTTGTCACCCTATCCTATAAAAAAAACTTTAAATATCAAAGTAAACAATTTGGCGAAAAAAGTTAACCGAATTGTGTTGATTACATAATCAACATAATTATATATAATACACATTAACAGGCTTGTAATACAGTGTTAATAAAATATTGCTCTTGTTTATTGATTAAGTATAAATGAGAAATTTTGTTTAAAGTTATTATGCATACTGAATCAATTTTAAGCCTTTGTTCTTAGTCTTTATAGTAATAGCAATTAATTTACATTTGATTTAGTAGACCCTTAATTATTGAAATTATGTTGATATATTTATTTAATAAAGAATATTACAGATACAAGAAAGTGTTTGTTTATCGGTTTAGAACATTTTGTCGAAAAGAACAATGGCAGAAAAATAATTGACAAAATTATCTTCTTTTGGGAATATCAAATGACTGAAATCGTTTTACTCTATTCAAGTGTTACCATTTACTATATGCATACTATTTTCGTATATACTTTGTAAAACTACCAACACAACACACAAACACAAAATATTTTTATATTAAGTTGATATTAGTAATAACACTATCAGTAATAATAAAAATAAAAGTGATATGGTTGAAAATAAGTCTCTTACAAAGAACTTCCTACAATAACATATTATCTCAATCATTCATATTTTTTCTCAAAAATGATATCGTATAAATAATAAATAAAAATATAAAGAAATACATAAACAACATTCTTAACTGAACATAAAAATGAAAAAAAATTAATTTAACTTTACTTACAAGTTTTCCGTAGAATAGAAGTTGTACTTAGTTTTACGTTAAGTTTAATAAGTTGTACTTTAACTTAAATAAAAATTTAAAGAGTTGGAGTCATTAAATTTTCAAAATATTTTATTACGCAGAATTACAACAAGAACTTTCTGGCAACGCTCCAGAAGACATTGAGACTCAAGATGACCGGTAATAAAGGTTTTTAATACATTATTATGTATATATTTAATCTTTATATATACATAAGAATGTATAAAAATTAAACCTTAAAGGTATTATTTAGAAAAACTAGTGTTACCCAAAAATAAAATAAATAAATTAAGTGGCGTCGATTCATAGCGAAACTACTCGATCAAAGCTTCTCGCAAATCGAACCAGATGAAACATTATCGTTAATGTAATAGAACAAGCGTATCACAACCATTAGTACCGCATAAGCGTCATGAGACGTGCTTAGAATGCCGGTTTGAAACACTGTAGGAAGCAAATTGAGATTCAGAAGCGGACGCGGGCATTTAGAACGTTTTTTTTGCACCGCCTAAAACCCCATGGTGTTGCACCTTCACTGCATATTAGCAAGCCCACGGGAACGCTTTCTCACACATCCGCAGCCCCACTAGCTCCAGCTGCCCAATGGTAGCCCTTTCCTTCTCCTCCAGCCTTCTCCTTCTCTCAGGTAAAACACACCAGGAAACCAACCAACCAACCAAACCGCCTTCCTCCATGGCCGCCAACTCCACCTGCGTAACGGACCCCGAGTCCGTTACCCGGAGGTCATGGGGTCAGTAATTTCGAGTGCTATGAAGCACAAGCTTTCCTGACCCCAGTGGCGCATCTGGTCTATGACTCCGCCACAAACCAAGTTTCGACGTTTCGCGGAAGATAGGGAGAGTGGCGTATTGCCATACTAACACTCCTCTTCCCCCGCGACTCCACCTCGGCTGCAGCGGTAGAAGGAGAGGACACCCCTCCCGCCGCAACCTAGTAACACACATCCGAAGTAGGCTTGCCATGCCCACTCGGAGTGGCCACCTCGGGCCAGCCAAGTGGGATCATCTTTGTTCAGTGCTTTGAATGCGCCACTGGGGTCAGGAAAGCTTGTGCTTCATAGCACTTGAAATTACTGGTCCCATGACCTCCGGATTACGGACTCGGGGTCCGTTACGCAGGTGGAGTTGGCGGCCGTGGAGGAAGGCGCGCCTTGGTTTCCTGGTGTGTTTTACCTGAGAGAAGGAAAGGGCTACCATTGGGCAGCTGGTGCTGGTAGGGCTTTTGTCCATATTGTAAGACACCTTAAATTTCTTTCTACGATGGATTACATGGAAACGTAATAAACAAATCAGGAAGACCATATTTTCTCACATAAGCCATTGCATCTTGTGCATATTCCTGCATATGTTTAGGGCTACCAGTAAACGAAGAAGGCAAAATTACTAATCGTCCCAAATCTTCAATGTATTCATCATTAGCTATCGCATCTCGCAGATGAATTTATTCATCCGGTCGTAGCTTGCTTGTCTTTCTGCTTCTATTTTTGCTTGCATATCAACAATAAACTGTAGAAATAATGGCCGACAGTTGAGCATATGATTATATTTAATCTCTCTCACCATTACGAGTATGCATAAAATTGACGAATTTTTTTATTAGCTGTTTGATTCGTTTGAGGATCAATTTTCTGAATATTAAAATTATAACCATCTTGTTTTGCCAAAATATGAAAGGATATTGCAAGGCATCATACAGGTGATAAGTTCCGCAATACGTTCTAATTTATTACTTGTTTGTTGAACCATAATATATAACCATAATATATAATTAACAGTGGTAGAGCCAGGCGGCAGCTTTTGCTGTCGCACGGATGGGCCAGCTCGAACCGGGGTGGTACCACGACCTCACAGAATACCAGCGTAAAGTAGAGGTTTACCTCTGCGTTTTGCTTGGTAAGTGCAGGTGGCCGGAGGCCCTTTTTACTGGAAATGAGGCATTCCATCCTAGTCCTCACGGGTGACAACGCATCTACATTTTGATTTGCAAACGAGGATAAATGTAGATGTCTATGGACCACAGCAACCACTTACCATCAGGTGGACTGTGTGCTCGTTTGTCACCCTGTCCTATAAAAAAAAATACAATTGCTTTAATTGTCTACCGTACCGTATAACCGTTACTTAATTCACTTGCGGTGCACTAAACCGTCGTTCACGCTCACGAATTGGTCTTTTATCTAGTCCAATTATTACTTTGTAATTACCTGACAACATTATTTGCATTGCAGTTTTAAAAAAATTTATTAACTTGTTATTTTCATGAAGAAAACGCTGTTAATCAAGTATTCTTCTTGACACAATCCTGAAACATTTTATTAAACTTTGATTGACTTCGTTTTCTTCATTTCCAATGAAGTAAATTTGTAAAAACTTCGGTGATTCATTTGTTAGTTATAATGATGATCCAATTTTATGATATATTTGTCCTTGGACTCTATACACTGGACTGAGTCCTTGCTTCTCGGTTATTTCAGTTGCTCAAACAAATTGATTTAGAAAAATGCATTGTAACTTCTAATTTTTTGTAAAAACTCTTTTGCATTTTTTATTTCTCATTTCATTAATTCCCAAAATTTTGGTGGTGGTGGACTTAATTCAAGTTATTTAATTTAACCTCTTATGCAGAAAATACTTGGTGTTTCTCCTTTGAATTTTTTGCTTTACAAAATTTACATATTTTATCTATTCTTCCAATAATTATTCTTGGATATTCGTTATAATTCGTAGGGAAATTAAAATGAAACGCTTCGTGGTCAAGACTGTAACTTCCTTGGCGTTTTTCACGAACCGCACGAACAGTTGTGTCCAATACTTGACCCACCAAATATTCGTGTTGTCGAGTGTTACTCATTCTCTCTCTAGATTGCTTTCATCTGTCATTAATTTATGCCTTTGTTTCTCTTTTTCTCCGTAATCTTTCTCTAATTCGATGTGTTTCTCTATAATCCGAAATCTGTTCTTCGGTCAGATTATATCGGTGACGATGATAATTTTCTCATTCAAATTCTAGATGCGCTTCTCTTCTTTCTATAGAATAATTTTACCGCGGTGTTTTTTTGCCTTTTTGGTGTGGATAAATAACGCGAAAAGTTTTTTTTACGCTTTGGTGTCGTTTTTAATATTTTAAATTTTGACACTGCAACTATTTTTTTGGCACTACTTGTTTGAACGTTTTACTTTTCGTGAGATGTACACTTCTTCTTATAGAAACCCAACTGAAGAACGCGTGCCTCTTATTTCATCTTATATACTTTTCAAAACTACCGTAAACCTCCGTATCTCTTACAGCCCTGTAAGAATCGACTCGCAACCCCCATAGTGCACGATGGGAGACTTAAACTAGTACCAATATATAGTATATATATATATATATATATATATATATATATACATATATATATAAACATATATATATATATAGAGAGTAAAAATGAGTGGCAATGAATTATTTTTATTAATTTAAATTAAATTAAAACATCAATAACGGTATATCATTGTTTATATAGCTGAACTTTAAGTTTGAATTTCGGCTTCTCTTTGATAAATAACCCTGTCTAGTAGCTAGCCCATTCTTAGATATTGAAAAGGCTATTGAATATGAGATGCCATGGTTAATGTTAATTTTCTCTTTTTACAGGTGTGGCAGTTGCATCCAGCGTATTTACGATCACAGCAATGTCAGTTGACCGATACCTTGCCATCACACAATCTCTGAGACAGCCGTGGATGCCATCACGACGTGGCGCATGCATGCTCTTGGGAGTGTTATGGTTAATTGCTCTAGCTATATTCGCACCTCTGCTGGTTGTAGCATCTGTGGAACGAGAAGTCGTGCCACTTCTTACAAAAACCGAAAATGGGTCTGTAAGTATATAACAAATGATTATGGCAATACAATTTTTAAATATTTTTATTCTCCGCCGATAATAATATATTTTCAATTAATTAATTGATTAATGATTTCTTATATTTACAAGAACACTACACATTTAAATATAATAATTTTACGGATTTTATCGCATATATTAACTTATTTTATTATTGCATTATTTTTTTTTAGTTTCGAGTACTTTAAAGCACCCATGGTCACGGTGGGGGGGGGGGGGGACTGAAGTGTATGACGTCCCAATATCATAGCTACCCACGTCTACCTCCAGATAAAAATTATTAATTTTTGTTCCAATCTACGCAGTATGAACTTATAGTATCTTAAAGTCTTGCAGTTGTATGTTTGGGTTTGGATTTATTTTATTAATTATGGATCCCAAGCATTCAGCCATCTTCTCTATTGAAATACGGATGTTTTTTGATTTCAATAGCCTCGCGAATCATCCTTAAAATCAAATCTAATGTGGTGACGGGGCGATCCTGTACGTATTTACAGACTGTAGACTTCCCGGAGCGTCTATTCTTCACATCAGCTATGTGTTCTTTAACGCAGGTTTTTATGGGTCGTTTAGTTTGTCCTATATAAGAGAGACCACATTTACAATCAAGCTTGTACACTCATGCATCTTGCAGAGGGACATTACACTTGAATGATAGTAAAAGCTGACTAATCTTCTTCGGCGGCTTGAAGTTTGTGTGGCGGCGCTGTCGTCGCGCTACAAGCGAAACACATCGAAACCTAAATCGCACTAACAAAGTTCCGAAGTTAAAGCAGTATATATAGAATAGCTCCGAACTACCACCAGGAGCGTTGGCCGCTCCCCGGGCAGAACACCTTGCCCGGAGTGAGATCTCTCCTTTTCCTTTCACCGCCACATAATGTGTTTTAATCGAAGCATGCTTCAAGATGTAGCCAATCTTGTCAGTGACACCTCTGACATGTGGCAGTACAGCAGGCACTCGTTCTACTGTGGTCGGTTTCTCTCGTTCATTGTGACGTAGGCGCGGGACTCGAAGCTTATTGTCGTGCAAAACTTGCTTGATGTGTTGGAGCTCGGCGGCCAGTTGGTTAGTGTCACAGATCCCTCGTGCTCTCTGAAACAAAGATTTACCCATGGTAGGTCACTGTGAAGGATGGTGATGAGAGTCACCGTTTAAAGATCTATCTGTTTGGGTCTTTTTTCTATGCAGTGTGGCTCAAGGTGTTATCAGAATTCAGAATTAGGTAGCCAGATGTAAGGCAGTGTCTGAGCAATACTGCATATTCTACGGGCATGTTGTTTTCCTCCAGCCTTCTAGTTACAATTGAGATGCAGTCTTCAACAGGTATGCATATGAACAGAGACTGCATATCAAAACTGACCATAGTTTCATTGTCTGCCAGATGAAGGTCTTTAATCTCGCTGACAAAATGGTAGGAATCCTTTGTATGTGCTCTTGTATGTCCGCTGAGCGGTGAGAGTATTTTCGCTGAGTGTTGAGTCAATATGTAAGTTGGTGAATCGATTTGACGTAGTAGAGCATTGGGCTTGTGTATTTTTGGTAATCCATACATCTTCAGTAGTTTGGCACACATAGGTATTATCGATTTTACGTCCAGATTTAATTTTTCGGAGTGTTTCTTTATGAGTTCACTAGTTGTTTTAAGTGTGGTATTTGTTGGGACGTTTTTAACCTTTTTATATATGCTTGCATCCGACAAAAGTTTTTGTATTTTAGAATTATAATCAGACGTATCCATGACTACCGTGGCATTTCCCTTATCCGCGCGGAGAATCATGAGTTCTGGTCTATTGCGTGGATTATTCAACGCTTTAAATTCGTCTTTAGGTAGATTCGTTTTGGGCGCTGAACTTCGACGTTACATAGACGAAATGTCTTGACGTAACGCTTCCAAATCTTCCTTTTGCATATTATTTGTAAATAAACAGTCGAGGACTGCAGATAATTTCCTCGTACGGTAATTTTTTCAGTGTTACAGCAAAATTAAGGCCTTTTGATAATACTCAAGTTGTTGCATCATCCAGAGTTTGTTTTAACAGATTATAGACCGCCTTTAATCTATGATCCGTGTTTGTGATCATCTGTTGTGTTTCGTTTTCACATTGACACAGATGTTTGACATTTAATTTGGTCGTTATTTTTGATATTTTACTATATGTTTGATTATGCATTCGTTATATTTATTCATTTCTCGGTTGTATAACGTTCCGATGCAAACATTATCATCAAATGGTCATGTAACTGCCTTTAATTCACTGAATGATGTATCTATGGGTTTGTTTATGTCATGTAGATATTGGTCCTATATAATATAAATAAAAATACAAAATAATATGAATATAAAATAAGTTTTAAGGATTTTATCGCGTATATTACGCGATCCGTAAAACTAGTTCTATTTAAATAATTAATTGATTGATATTAAATTTATTTAAGTACTTAATTGTTCGAATGATTGTTATTTTAATTAAATGTTAATTAATTAATTGTAATTTAAAACATTTGATCATTTATTAATTAATTATTTGGTAATTACAGTTTATTTGCATACTTCTTCTTTTTCAATGCTTGTAAAAGTTCATTGTAAGAAATAAAGTACTCCCATCATTCAGTTTTATTTTTCAATAACCGGCTAAGTTTGTAGAGAAGTTTCAAAATAAGTAATATAGGCAAATAGTGAAGCCAAATTAATTTAAAAATCTCAAATATTCTGTCCTTCTCATCTTTTAAATTCAAAATGCTTGGAAATGCATTATTTTAATTTAATTAACTACGCACGCACACATTAGTAAGGGTTGGTCGGTGGACAAAAACGTAATTGCCCATAAGTTTCAAATAAATGTAGTAGCTCTATATGGTCCTATTTAAAAAAAACTCGAGTAACAGTATCTATATCATTATTTATATGTTTGGAGTGAAATTTAATAATTTTACTACTTTTTTAATAATATCCCTATATAGAGGGTTTACTGGAATCATCATGCTTGGCTGGCGCACAAAGATACAGTACAGACATCTCGCAACTTCAATGCTGCTGCCCGTCACTGGCCAGGGCGTTTTAAGTCTGTCATATCTATCGAAAGTTATATCTCAGTCAGATCTTCAGTCAATTATGTTACATTTTTTCTGGCTGTGGGATTATTTTATGCCGCTTTATTTTTTAACACTTGTATTTAGTAATTATTGACAATAAGGAAAGTTATTATCAAATGCATTTAAAATCACGTCCTCCTGATAAGGATATTAATTTTTAATCGATATTCAAGCATCTTGGCTTTTTGCTAAAATTGAACGTCCAAATGGCTGCAGACTCCGTGCTACAACAGGTCCCATCCGCAGAGATCGTGATACTCGGTGATTTTAACGCCCACCACGCTGAATGGCTTGGTTCTCGTTTAACCGAACATGCGGGTAGATCTGTCTATAACTTTGCTTTGGCATATGGTCTAACACAACTGGTTATTTCGCCTACGCGGATCCCCGTTGTGGAAGACCATGTACCTTCCCTGTTGGACCTTCTGCTGACCTCACATCCGGACGGATATCAGGTCTCCGTCGATGCCCCTCTGGGCTCTTCGGATCATTGTCTGATCCGGAGTACGTTGCCACTCACGCTCCAATCGCAGTTGCGATCTGCAGCTTGCCGCCGTGATTGACACTATAGGTCAGCTGATTGGGAAGGGAGGCGGTCTTTTTTTGCATTCTACCCTTGGGGGCGGGTTTGCTCTTCGCCGGAAGATCCCAGCGTTGTGGCCTATTCTGTTGCTGATGTGGAACTTCAGGGTATGGAACTTTTTATTCCATCCTCTGTTGTGCCCATCGGAGGCAGATCCCAGCCATGTTTTGGTCGCTCCTGTAAAATATCATCACGCTATAAGCAGAAGTGCTATCCGGCCTGGGCTGACGTATCAACGTCTCGGGATGTAAACACCAGCATACTTAAAAAGAAGTATAATTCCGCCTCCAGGTCCTTTAAAAGCGTCATTGCCAAGGCAAGGTCTGAGCACATCGGCAGAATTGGCGAGAAGCTAGTTCGCTTTCCTTCGGGAACCCGTGCATTCTGGTCTCTCGCTAAGGTTGTCCAAGGGAACTTCTGTTAGCCATCTTTTCCATCTCTGCACAGAGAGGACGACTTACTGGCCCATGCTGCAAAGGAGAAAGCCAATCTGCTGAGCTCTCTCTTTGCGTCCAACTCGACTCTAGATGACGGGATGAACACACAGCCGACCATCGCGTGATGTGAGTGCTCCATGCCGGATGTGCGGTTTACACAGCGCTCGGTTCGCAAAGAACTCTTCTCCTTGGACATCAGCAAGTCGAATGGGCTCGTTGGAGTCCTTCCCATTGTGCTGAAGACGTGTGCTCCGGAGTTGGCACCGGTTTTAACGCGTCTTTTCCGGTACTCCTACTCCCAACGCGTAGTCCATAATTCATGGAAGACACCTTTGGTCCACCCGATCCCTAAAAAAGGCGACCGCTCAGACCCGTCCAACTACGGGCCTATCGCCATCACCTCCCTGTTGTCTAAAATAATGGAATCAGTTATAAACTGCAAGCTCATGAGGTACCTTGGGGATCACCAGCTGATTAGTCATTGCCAGTACGGTTTTCGTCGGGGTCGATCAGCTGGTGATCTTCTAGTCTATTTGACTCATAGATAGGCGGAGGCAGTAGAGTCCAAGGGGGAGGCATCGGCCGTTAGTTTGGACATAGCGAAGGCCTGCGATCGGGTCTGGCAGAAAGCGCTTCTTTCGAAGCTTCCTTCCTATGGGCTTCCCAAGAAATTGTGCAAATGGATCACCAGTTTCCTTGCTGATCGGAGCATCAAGGTCAAAGTAGACGGTGCATGCTCTGATTTCAAGCCTATCAACGCTGGTGTTCCAAGAGGCTGCGTGCTATCACCAACGCTGTTTCTCCTGCATATCAATGATATGTTGCTAACTGGTAGCATTCATTGCTATGCGAACGACAGC